TTATTTTATTTAAAAAATACTAAATACAATTAAATTTTCCAGGCAAATTTGCCTGGAATACAGTTTAAGGGATAAATATATTCATAATGAATTTTATCCGTTTATTTTCATAAATTATTAAAAAAAAAAAAAAGTTCATGAATTCGATTTTTTATATTTTATCATAGTTAAGATAATTTAATATTTTTCAATCGGTAGGTAGCAAAGATATATATCATTTTTTGGGGCAAATATTCTTTGTTTTTAAAATTGTCTACATTTCACCAATTTTATTTACTACATAATCATGAAATAATGTTTGCATACGTATTATTTTGATCATATTAATTACTTAATAAAAACACTGGTTTAATTCATGACTTTTTCATATCAACTTTGAATAATTTCTAATAACCCATATATATTCATGCGAAAATGTTGTATAATGTCGTTGATTTAATTTTTAAATGATTAGTAAGTTTCTCTCCCGAAATATAATTTGTATGATTACTTGAATCAATTTCTAATAACTTATTAAAATCCACAAGCAACAATTTATATCTATTCATTACATGATAAATCCTTCAATGACATAGTATTATTCAACCCGATTTCTAATAGTTTAGGTCGCGAAACATGTTATTTAGCAAACTATACATTTGAATAATTAGACACAATTTTGTACATTTCAATGTTATTAGTCTTTTTTGTAAGGTGAGAAACAAAATGCCTTGAACTAAAGCATGCTTCTTCATGCACCTTCCATTCTATTTTTTCATATCCATGTTTATGTCTATACATAGTAGATTTAATTAAATAATATATAATTATATAGAAAATTTGACAAACATTTTTACTTAATGCATTAAATTAAGTTCATGGTAAAAATTTCTTTTTTTGTATAATATTTGTTTATAGATTTACATAGATGTTTCATGTTAGACCATATCTAAGAACCTACAAATTGTTTGTTCTTCGGTCTGGTAACAAAACCTAAGAAATTCTCGAAATTCTCATAAGTCTTATCCTTTTTCCATTCGAAATAACTTTCATATAATGTTTGATTATTAGCTACCATATAGATATATTTAGTGAGGTTTCAACATTTTTGAAATCGGCCACTTTTATAATCGAATGTGGAGGAACGTAATTATCAATATCAGGTGTACCCATATATATACGGGGATAGAATCATCTAGAAAGGAATCATAAACTTTTTCTGTGACATAGCCTTTGCAAGGTTTTACCACGAAATCCCGAAAGACGGATTCCCGAAAGGACATAATACTGACGGAGTTAACCAGAATTAGTTATAATGCTGACCAATTTGGTCGGTATTATGTTTTTTTCGGGAAAATGGCTTTCGGATTTTGTAGTAAAACCTTCATAGACATAATCATTTCGATTATTCACAGGTTGACAATTACCACCATCCAGCGATGAAAACATACCTTTTTTCATTAAATGGTGTATGAGTTTCATAAAATTTAGGAATACAATCTTTATGTATTCCATATACTGGTTGGAAAATTAATGTCAAAAGAGATCTGCAGGTAATATCGAATAGATTAAGGAAACTTTCCAAACCAACGAACAGTAATATCCTAATCCTTCTTCTGCAAAATGAAACCACCAGACTTGTCTGGCTTTGTGCTAGGACATCTGTTCCATATCATAATAGGGTGGTTCATATATTTTTAAACAGAACGGATAGTCTACATATATATATCAAACATCGCATTGCGTGTAATTAGTAGTTATACGATACTTGGTTCCATCTGTACATGTGCCATGCTCATCATACTTAAACCAAAACCAACAAGGTACGTACGTACATAACCTTTGAGCCATTTTGTTAAACCAGGAACGCTTTAACGTGCATATTGTTCAAATATCCGTTGAAAGAAAACATTAAGTTCTGGTGGATACGGGAAGAGTTCTTGAGAAACTTTCTTCCAGGATACTTGATTAAATGTCTTATGCTTACCTAAATTAATACAAATAGTGAATGTTTATAGATTTTGAATAACTTATTTTAAAACTTAAAGTATTAAAATTTCTTTATATTCACTTAAATAACGCGACAAATTAAAATTAAATAATAAATATTTATGAATTTTAATAGCTTTGTTAAAACTTAAATCTCTTTGCGTCACCTAAATTAATACGAAAAGGTGAATTCAAATATTAAATGTTCATAAACTTGAACAGCTTACTTTAAACACTTTAGCATTAAATTTCTTACACTCACCTAAATTAACACGAACAAAATAAAAGTAAATATATATAACACTAGTAAATATTCATGGATTTGAATAGTTAATTTTAAACACTTAGTATAAAATTTTCTTTGCTCTCATCTAAATTAACGCGACAAAATAAAAACAAAATAGTAAACATCCGTAGATATGAATTATATTTATCTAAATATTACTTTACAGAAACCTATGTTTTTGCTAAATATGTTTAAAATATAATAATAATCTGATAACAATTTCTGTTAAGTTA